TCAAAAGTGAAATGTCAAGATTAAAAGTAAATTAACCTAGCTCCGAGCTTTTGAACTCCTATAAATTAAAAATTTTAACCTCAGGATTAGTTTGGGTCTGTTAGGCTAACAAAACATAAATAAAAAATGATATCCAATTGAATATTCATTACTCCACCCCACGCGCCAAGATTTAATTAAAATCTAGATGTAGAGTATGTCTGTATTCTGCACAAAATAATTTCTCCTCTTCCACATGTTGCATAGTGCTTTGCACTCTCCCTCTTTTATTTTTGCCAAGATGAATCACACACACTCCTTTTGCTTCAGCGTCTCTCACGCTCGAATGCCAGGAAGTGCCTAAATGGATGCTTCAAAAAAGAAATCGAATCACTTAACCCTCATATCACCTTATTCCAAATCCATATATGCGTGAAATATTATTTAAATCCTAAGTAGGAAAAGAGGCAAATATGAGTAGATATCAGACATTAGGCTGATTTTGTTTGATTTTGAATAGATTAAAAATATTAAACTTGAAGCAGGCTAGACAGGTTGAGTTGAATTTGAACCAAATTGGAGTTTAATTTGATTAAATTTGTTTCCAATTAGCTTAAAATGAAATGCTATTTCAAAGAAGAATGTCCAGCCTTACTGAATCATATACTAATACATATGTGGAATTAAAGCATTGATAGCAGTGACATCATTGATAGTATTTGTAGCATTAATAGCATTGATAACATTGATATCATTGAAAGATACGTAGAGAAATGTGTGTGCATTACATCTTTTAATTTCATACAATATATAATTGATAAGATTAGCAAGACTGATAACATTCAAATATTTATGTTCATGCTACAGTGCTGATTCATTGATAACTAATTTATTGATTTTAGATGTATTAACATTTTTACACTTGTTGTTGATTTATGGATTTAAGAGTTTTGCTTCTCATTTTTTTGTTATTGATCATATTGAACATACTAGTGATTACTGAACATTGACGATATTGAATAGTATTGATTCTATTGAGTGAGATAAGCATGCATATTAATTCCTTACAACTTTTATTGAAAGTTATAGTTGGTTTTGAGTTTATGTTGGGCTTTGTAAACTCATTATGTAGTTTTATTGATTTCATGTTAAGGAAGGAGTCAAGATCATGCAGAGGGAAACCAATTAAGATCTTCAGGTTCTCCTTTTGATTTTGTTATATATTTCTTTTACTCCTTTGTAGTCAGAAGCTACTGATAGACTTATTGATTGTTAGTGATCTCATAACTATTGTAAATGTGATTTTGATAAATAAATATAGTGAAATATTTCAAGGTGTATGATATTTAATTGTTTTTGTTGGATGTTGAGTTGTATTGATTATTTGTAGAAGCTCTTGTAAATGATTAAAACTATAAAATAATTTTTTTCTCAAAATTTAATTCTGAGGCATGAAACTTGCCCCCTCCACGAAGAACTTGCCATTCTTCATGGTGGAGTACTATTGATTTAGCTTACCACTTCAACTACAGGAGAGACTCTTACTCAAAAGACCACAACTTGCCCAATCATATTCTATCAATCTTATAGCTCATCAACTTCAAAAACTAAGCTCACTCACCTCTCTTAGCAAGGCACCATAGAGCTCTAACGCAGCTCACAAATAATTCTAGGGAGACAGTCGCCTTAGCTATCACTATGTAGGACTCTCCATGCGATTCACATAGATTTACTCCCCTATATGCAGTCAACATTATTGAGCTCAACCATAGACATATAAATTAAATTCAAGAAAGGTAATTCCCCCTCTAGCTAACTAGAGTGTGACATATGTCTAGGGTGCCTTGTTGAGTTATTGAATAATGTAGCTTTTTTTATTCATTTATTGATGTACTATTCCCTACAACTCTCCCATCCTTATAAATAAATAGTCAACATGTTATTCTTGGATTTTTTTTTGAATTTAGTGAATCATTTTAGAACTTTGAGCATCTATTCTCACTAATATAAATACTCATACAAAAAGTGCATGTTGCTAGAAATGAATGAAGATAGTACAATCATGTCATAGAAGAAGCAAACAAAAATATACTTAGGCTTTATTTAGGACAGCTTTTTTGTTGATTTATATAGTTGTTTTCTAGTACAAAAATTTATAGTACATCGTGGATGTCTCATAACATCTCAAATCATAATGTTGAAAATGTTGTAACACAAAATTAACCATACAAGGAATAAGAATCTACACAATAGAAATTTGAATGGCCCAATTTGTAGATAAAAAAAATATTTGGGCTAGTTAGTAGTAAAGCAAGCAACATAAGTCGAAGGAATGATATGAGATAACATAAGGGCTTATATATTTAAATATTAAAAAAATATAACTAAATGAGAATATAAAGATATAAAAAACAGACATAAGATTATTTTCTTTGCCATTCTCTCTCTCTTAACTCCTTATATATCTTTTTACTTAATAAATAACACCTATATATCATGCAAAAGAATGAATGTAACTAATTATAAGATTAACTTTGAGTGATTTTGATTCTGGTGTTTTTCCTTGCATCAAAATTGATTAAATCAAACATTGTTATATATATATAAAAAAAAAAACAGTAAAGTACCTTATCGATGGAGAAGACTAATTGTTCATTGTGTAAATGCATCTTAAATTGAATAGTATGAAGAGGATGCAATCTCATGAGCTCAAAAAGGGAACTCGTCTTAGGAGTGGTTGGTATAGAAGTCAATAATGACTGGAGTTTCATAATAGTTTTTTAGAAGAAGTCAAGCAATTAAATTACTGAGTAATAGAATGTTCTTATATAACAAATTAGTAAAGGCCAAATGAATTGCATTAAACATAAATGACTTATACCTTTAGAGGTTATAGAAGGCTCTGCATAGGTTAGAAATAATCCTACAAATAAATAGAGCCTATGGAATGAACCTAATATACTACTCTCATTGGGCGTGGGAATTAGATGAGAAAAAGGATTAGCATAATTGAATATAGTGATGGATAGATATATCCTAGAAACCATAGTGCATATGCACAAAAAGAAGTTAACATTTGTATATGCACAAATGAAAGTTGATTATATGCATATGCACAAAAAGAAGTTAACATTTGTATGCCTATATAAAAGTTTATCATATATAAGATTAAATAACATGTAGGAGAAAGAGAAAGTCAATTATGTCCATACTAAGTGAAACCTTGCATAGGCTAAATTTTTTCTAAACTTCTAGCTTCTAAACTACTTTAAAATTTACCAAACATTCAAGATCACAAAAATTCATGTGTGTTCATACTATAACCTTACAACACTTTTTATACAAAATGTATGCTCTTTCAAAAAGTTAAAATAAAATTAAAGCAAGAAAACAAGTAAAATATAACTTGAAATGAGTAATTCTTCCCAAACAATTTTAACAAGAAAATTATGAGTAGTTCATCTCAATCAATTTTAACAAGAAAATAATGTCAGGGAACTGCTAGTTTTCACATCATAAAAAAGTAACACATTTTTTAAGCTTTTGATAGTTTCTCCATGTTAGCATTTTGAATTCACAAGTTAAAAGTCTGTGACACAAACTAAAATTCTATAACATGAGTCAAGCCAAACTTTAATCTGAAGGAACTTGTGCGTTAGTTCTCTTATGTAAACTCCTATCAACCAACCTTATGTTCATCTTATTGTTACTTTTTTTTAATGATATATTTATTACATGAGAAGCAACTTTTCACTATCAAATTGGCTCGAGCTTATGTTAGAACCATTGAATCAATTGGTGGATAAGGAGAAGAGTTCTGCCTTATTGTATTAATAGGAAGCCTACACTACTGAGAAAAAAATATTTCACATTAGGTGAAGAAGACCATAGAGGAGGGTAAATAGGAAATTTAAGGATCTTACGACAATTTATAGGTGTAGACATCAATTTCACTTCAAACGATTGATCTTTCCATTTACCTCTTCATTTTCACTTGAATGTATTCGATTACGATTCTAAAAATGTTTAGCGAGCAATAGATGTCGATAGAAGCTTAGGGTATACAAAGGGTAACGAGCATCGTAACTGATAGGATGCGAAAAGATAGTGAATGAGCTAAACGAAGATGAAGAACAATAATTTATGACGATGGGTTATAACTGAAAAGGACTTAAACAATGCGAACATGAAGATGACAGAGTGGGGAAGAAGAGTGAGTTGCTTTCGGTAAAAGAACCATACTATGAAGAGTCGAAACAATGGAGAAGCATTCGAAACCCAAAAGCTGCTAAGAAGAAGAGCTTCTTGTCAAATCGGACGAGAAGCATACAAATAATCATGGAGGGTAAGAACTCGCTTAATACATTAATAGTCATTTAAACTAATTAATGCTTTAACCTATAATTGCACATTTAAGATATTTTTAATTTTATAAATTATTCATAATAAAATTAATGGACATGATAATATTTGAAAAAAAATGAAAGGCTAAGATTTGATATGGGTAGAAACTCAAGCCCGTTTTATAATATTAGTATATATTTGCAGGAAAGTCATTTGAACTAGTGGATTATTCTCTTTATTTCTCCATTCTTACACAACTTCTTAGATCATGCACATAGAGCTAACAAGTTAATAACTCAGGTATCATCTAGGAATAAATTTGAATTCAACAACCCAAGTGAGAAAATATTAATAATAATAAAATTCAAAAGCAATATGTTTTTTTTTCTGACAAAAATTAGTTCAATTAAATTGAGGTAAAACATCAAATACACTTGCTTATGCTAAAATTAAACACGAATTTTAGGATTAAATAAATTTGTTTGATATTTTATCTTAATTTAATTGAGCTATATTTTACGGAAAAAAATTGGCCTATTGCTCTTAATTTTTATTTTTCGCGCTTGGGTTGTTGTTTTGTTATTTTTTTTATTTTTCCGTTGGTTTCATAGCCCGTATCGCGCTTGGGTTGTTGGTTGAAGGCTTCAAGCCGAATCTACAAGCCAAGGGTTCGTCTCTGTTGTGCAACACTAATAAATGCTTCTGATCTCCTACTTTTGAAATGGAGTGGGCTCTTCGTTTCGTTTTTTAGGGTTTGCTTCTGAACATCGGCGTGAATTTTAGATTCGGTGTTGTCCAGCGTAAGTTAGTTTGCACAGTTGGTTTCGATGTCGGTGTGATGGAGTTTGAGGGTTTTCTTGGATCTCTCGAGTTACATGTTGGCATTTGACTTAATGTTATTGATTTTTATGCCTTTTTTGAGAAATCGTATTTATTTATTTATTCCTGTTGGCTGATTGATTGTTTGTTTGAATTTTTTTTCGATAGGTTTCTTTATTCAATTTGTATCTGCTGAGCCTGTACTTTTCAATGGGAGGGGGTACGCATACCATGGCGTCTTTTGGCAAAAAATTCCATTTTTTCATTGCGTTTTGAAAGAAATATAAGTTTTGTACATTTTGAGAGGCAGGAGCTTTTTCGTTAACTGGTTGTGAATATGCCGAGTGGAGGAGAAATAGATATTGTGATTGATATGGCAAGTTCCACTAATACTGCCATTGAGAATATGCACAATGTCGGAGAAGGGAAGAATTCGTTGTGTGAGGTATGGAGTGGCTTTGTTGTCTGTGACCGGTCAATTAGAAGCCAGGAAGCTTTGGGGTTTGAGAATAAGTTGCATGATTGTGCTGAGGTTCGGCTGGAGAATGGGGAGGCTTTGCTAGTGAATAAAAGGGTTGTAGGGGACGAGAAGGTTGAAAAGGTTGTGGGAGCTGAGAATCCTAAGAAGAAAGGATGTAAGAAACCTCCCAAGCCTCCCCGCCCTCCCCGCCCTCTGTCACTGGATTTTGCTGACCAGAAGCTCGTAAGGGAGATTTCTGAGCTTGCGATGCTGAAGAAGGCTAAGGCTGATAGAATGAAGATATTGAAAAAAATAAAAAATGGGAAATCAGCTTCATCTTCTGCTGGAAACACTTTTGCGCTGGTTGTTTCTCTTATTTTCTGCATTGTAATTTTTTGGCAAGGTAAACATCATCCATTATTTTGCTAGTCTATGCTTATAATTGATTAGTGTTCTCTATTTTTTGTTTCTTTAGATTTGGAAAGAATACTGGGTTATTTAACTGTGATGTTTGAATGGCATTTTTTTTTTAACATGAGATGCATTAATTCTTGATTTATACAAACAAATCAATTCTTCTTTTGCTACAATACACTACAGAAGTCACTTTTCAGGATGCATGAGTGTTTCAATTTATTTAAAGTCAAGTTTGTCAAATGCGAAACCTAAGCAAGAGTTAGAACCTAGATTTTTTACCTTTACCGACACCCTTGTATAATGTTTACATAACTAGTTGATTCATCCTTAAAATAGGTTGAGTTGGTGGAGACTCACAAAGAAAGAGGCAAAGGGAAGGATTTTTCTACCTTTTTAATGTATCACTACCCTGATGCTAGGTATTTTAGCTATTTACAGAAGATATGCTTCTGTCCATTTGGAGGCATCTTCCATATTGTGTCTTTTGAGGTGATTGCCTAGTATGATAGGAATGGTAAAAGAAAGATATTCTCTAGTTTTGGTATGTGAAAACAATTTAGATCAAATGTATGATATTTCATGGTTCTGGATACAGTTGGAAGCCATGTGTTAGGGAAAATTTAAGTATGAAATTGGCACTTGATATGGGTTTGCAACTGTAATCCTGGATAGATAGGTAGTAAAATATAAAGTAGGAGATCAGCACTTGATATTAGTTTATACCAATGATAGAAACCTGAGCAACAAGGTTTGTCAAATTGAACAAATTTCTCTATAAAGTGAGATATAGAATTACAACATTAGAAGAAAAGTCAGGCCTTGCTATTTGAGATCAGTATATAAATAGGGAAAATTTTTAGTATGAAATTGGCACTTTAAATTATTTTGCAACTGAAATTCTTGATAGGCAGGTAAAAATTAAAGTAGGAGATCAGTAGTTAATATTGGTTTCTACCAATGATAGCAACCTGAGCAACAATGTTTGTCAAATTGAACAAATTTTGCTATAAAGTTAGATATATAACTGCAACATTAGAAGAGAAGTGAAGACTTTCTATTTGAGATCACAAGTAATTCTTCTAATGTTGTAGTTTTTTGTCTCTTTATGGTCAACTTTGCTGCTTAATGCTAACTTTTGTCTTAGATCTCATTATACAAATATGAACAACTCTTACTACTTTTGTGGCTACCAATGCAAAGCAACACAAAAAATTGTTCTATCATCTAATGCCATATTGAAATTGATGCAAGTTCAATTATAGTTCCTATAACATCCTACATTTTTTGGTTTGAGTTAGGTATAATTTTTGGTGTGGCCTATGGTTGCATCTTGGATGTTGGCTTCAATATGTTTGAAAATCATTTCAAGAGTGTTAAAAAAGCTATATAGGTTTTGGAAGTATGGTAGGATAAGTGGAGTAAAGATGTTACAAGTAGGGTTCAACCTAGGCCAACATATGCTAACAAGTTTCATGAAAGTTTAAGGTCTTGGTGTAAAGATTATATGAAACCTCTGGGCTAGGTAACACTGAGAATATTTTAAGTAACATGTGTAGATCTGATTTGGAGTGTTTCATAAAATTTCAAGGGCTTTAGGAGTTTTCATGGGGTTTGGAATAAGACTAGGTCTTTATGAAACCACTTTGACCTGATAGCCCTATGTATTATTTATGACTTGAGGGGATAGGTTTGGTGTTAGAATCAAGGACTAAAATCTCCTAGATTTAATAGAGGGGTATGTTTAGATTTTTTCTGGAGATTTTAGGAAATTTTGAAGTTTTTTAAGACACCCGTTTGTCTAATAGGATTATGTCTTATTTGTTACATCTATGGCTGATAGCCCCCAATGAGGTTTTGATGGGATTTTTAGTTGTTAGAATTTGGGGAATTACTGTACAGAAGTGTAGTGGGATAATATTAGTAGGGTTCTACAGTAAGATTCTAGTAGAATTAGAAATGAAAATAAATAACTACTCACCTAAGTAGTAGAGGATCAATGCCACCATAAGATTCCCCCTTTGAGAAATCGGCCACCAAACTTATTCCACGATAAAAAAACTCAAATTTTAGCAAAACATCATCAATTTTGAATCCGTTGATTTTCTTCCAGCACATGATATATGGTACTATTACAAACAGAGAAAATTCAAATGCAAAGAGAGGTGAAAGGTATTATAGTTGACCAATAAGTGGAGGAGAAAAGAGGAGGTAGATATACTTTATATATTCCACTCTAATCATATGGTTGCCTACCGCTCTAGAGTGGGAAGTGGCTAATTGATTTAAATTATTTCAATTAATTATTTTCCACTTAAATCTACATATTTTTCCGACAATTTTGATACTTTAGTCTAAAAAATTTGAAATTTTGGATTATGAAAATTCAAAAGTTCAAACTTATGAAACTCAAATTTTCAACCTTTACGAGTACTCAAAAAATTAAAATTACTGAACATACTCTCTCATTTCAAGCATGCAGCACATAAATTTAAAAGGTCTTGATTAGGATTTTATTTTCTTTTTTCTTGCTTTTGCTTATTGTGGTTCGTATAGTTTGTACTGTAGGAGGTTTTTTGTGCTACATCATATTTATTTATCACACCATGATTGATAATTTCACCCATTTAAGATGTTTTTTCTTTAAAAACACTTTTTGAGTGTGATGAAAATGAGAATGTTATGATGTATATGCAATAAAAAATTGAAAGGATAGAGTGAAATTTCATTATCTCCGAGTCACTGAGAGTAGTATCTTAAGAAAATAAAGTGGTGAAAATAAATCATAGAGTTTTGGGCATTTCTAATACAAAGTAAAGTGGCGAAAAACAAAATGGCAAAGTGGGCAAAAGATTTGCAAAATAACTTGGGCAATGTAGAGTATACAAATCCCGCAATAATCATTAGAAATATCTGGGGTAAAAAGATTTACAAAGCCAACACCAACTTGTTGATCTATGGCTCATGTTGATGGCTTATATGAAAGAGGTTTTGATTTTGGAGTTGGGCATATTTGGGAGTCCTTTATTCTCCATTGAACTTATGCACTGTGCAAATTGACATCTGACATCATGAAAATGTTTTTGTGTTCCATTGCCATATGAAAAATTGCCAGAAATTGTAGATTATTATTCATAGTAGCTGTTTTATCTATAATTTGACCTGTACTTTAAGCTATTTTCTTTTGATATGTGATTGTTTGATCAATTTTGAGTTTTATGATCTTATAACCTTACCTCTATTATAAACATGCTTAAACGATAGTCAAAGGGTGGTCCTTTGGCAATAGGCTTGTAATAGATTAAATACGTAGAAAACTAGTCTGTGAAAGTGTTTATAAGATATATGGCTATAATTATTAGGATAAAGATTGAACTTATGATATGCATTTTAGTACTGGTGAGATAACTAATCATCAATTGATTTTATTAGAAGATAAAAGTGATACCTATGCATGATATGTTCTCATATCTAGGATGCATTATATTACAAATGAGGCTATAGGCAAGGATTATAATTTTTAGCGCTGAGGATAGATAGGTTTAAAAGTGCCTTAATATGATTATTTTATAAGAGAATATCACATAAACTAAAGAATATCATTGTAGACATGAAAGATATGCTTATACACATGCAATTATACTTATTATATTATATTGATTTGATTGTTAGAGAATAACTAAGTCAGTAGTAGAGAAATTAAGCATTTCAAAAATTAAAGTATTATGATGGATGTATGAAAACATTAATAAAAATAAATTTTTTATTTGTTATATTAAACGGATGGTCAAATGATTTCTAATATAACTAAGGAACTGCAAATTATATTAACTGTTTCAGGGCCTTTACAAAGAGTGATTAAAAGTCTATGTTATATTGCAACCAAGTTGGAGTGTTCAATTTTTCATGCAACACTCAATTAAGATGAAGGGAGAATAAACATTTTTAAGGTTGAGCCCAAATAATTGGAATAAAGCTAATAATGATGACGATGATTTAACATTTTCTAATACCTAAGTTTTTGTATTATGCTATCCTCAGGAACATTTGTTTTATGTCTATAAAGATCATTGAATTAGTTTGATCATTTTAGTTTACATATTAACTAATCTGCTTGATTTGGTATGTATAATATATAAAAAAAACAAATAGACCAAAAAAAAAACAAATAGACCGAGCTATACTTCAAAATAGAATTAATCAAATGTTCGTTCGTTCTATTCAATTCAGTTTCTTATGATTAAAATTCTTTTTTGTTTTTCTTTAAAAGTCTTGAAAATAATGTATTGAGAGTACAATACATGAAATCTCTTGAAAATATGACATACCAATTAATTAAGCACTTTAACATTGATATACACATGCACCAAATCATCATGCACTATGCGAAATTAAACTAAACTGCTTAGTCATTGAAACCTAAGCCCATGATATTTTTTGTAATAACATCGAGCTTAGAATCTCTTATATCTTTAAGAAAAGTAAGAAAATATTTTAACGACCTATAGAAGTAAAATTGCAACTAATTAGATGTATTATCTTGATCACCATACAACCAATCCTTAGCGTAGGCCAAAGCTTCATCACTATCATGTTTCAAAGCACTTCGATATTGATTAAGAATTCTAGAATTATTACTAAAAACACTTTCAGAAGTCACGATAGAAATTGGAATGCATAAAATATCATGAGCCATAATTTAAACTTTGGGAAATCTATACTGACTACCTTTCGACTTTTCTAAGATATCTAATTCATTTTTTCTATCAAGTTTGGGCTCATCTAAGTATATTTCATATTCATACTTTCTAGGCATCGTAATCTCTACTTGAAAAAAAATTATAATCTTGTACGAATGTTTACACATATGTTGCATGCATACAAACTTTAGTAATTAATTGGTAGAGACTAAAATAAGAAACCAACACAATTTATAAAATGTCACCTGCATAAATTGTGATTTTATAGTTGTTGAAGATTGGCTGGTTG